GGGCTGTAGTTGGGTTTAATGTTTGTCGTACCCACCCATCCGCAGTCGGCACTGGCCGTGTTGTGTTTTTCCCTCTTCCCCCCTCTGCCGCCTTCCTCCCGGCCTTAACCGGGCAGGACCCCGCCCCTCCCCGCGCCTCTCCACAAGACCGAGTCATATGGGAGCTGGCCTCCGCCGAAAGGCCGTGCCTCGAAATGAAGTAAGGCAGTGTAGCACGTAAAACATGGCTTTGAAGTGTGTGGCGTCTTGTGGTGCCCTGCGCCCTACAGCGACAGCCTTTCCCCCTCCATTTCCCGGCAGGTCCCCCGTGTCTATGTTTTTCCGCCAATGTTTTTCCGCCAATCCCTTACACCCTCTTTCCCCCCTCCCCCTCCCCCTCTCCCCCCCTTACCTGAGTGCTGAGCAGTCCATTGAAAACCCGCAGTGCGTGTGATCGTACATCGTCGGGCAGCTCGGGGAGTGCTAGTACGGCAATAAGCTGGGCAAACACAAGTGCGTGGCGGGTTGTGGGTAGAGGTCAGTGGAGCTTAGATGTGACCCGAACGTGCGCGCTAAGAGGTTGTGGAAGGGTGCGGTTTCGGAGCTTCAGAAAGGTTGAGAAAAGGGAATCTGAAGGTGGAGCGTGGCAAGATTCGGCGCCGTGTCGCGTTGTGTCATCAGGGGGTATGCAGGTGCGAAGGAAAAAGGGCGAGTGGTCTTAAGCCCTATACTGTACAGCAGAGCTCGGTTCATGATGTACCCAAATCACGATACCTTTGGAATAGCCCGCCGTCCATGTGCCTCCGCGACCTCATCTGGGATGACGCCCTGACGTGCAAAAGCCCGGCGAGGTGTTCACGTTTAGGTGGCTTCATGGCGGATGCGGAAAGCATCGAGAATGCCACCATGTGAGCTGCCGATAGCATACCTTTGGAAACGGTTCGCTGAGGTCAGGATGGAGATCCTTCAGGAAGTCTGAAACAACGTGCCTACTTGCGTGACTCTGCATGGCGTTCCGTTGTGTTCAAGGCACTTTGTGCCCCTCTATGGGATTGCTATGTACTTATCTTATTTCAAACATGTATACAGGGAAATATAGGTAGCGGTCAGCTCAAATCTATGGACCGTCAGAGGGGGATGTTTCTGCTTCAAACGGGACGACGCCATAAGCTAGAGCAAAATATGCATGATAATAAAGCTTGCTGCAAAAAGGATTATCGTGTCTGATATTGAATGTCTCTATTCGGGAAAGGTATTGGTGCTGCCTCCGTACGCGTGTTCTGAAGGCTTCGCGTGCCAAGAATGACAGAAGGTTTAGAGTTTCCTAAAATCTACCTGAGTCAGCCCGTCAACAAATTAGCGAGCAAGTTACCAAATCGATACTCCAACTGACAACGAACTATTGACGTTGTCCGAACGCCGTAACACGCCCTACCACATAGACTTGCCTGGTTAACGGGCTATTGTGGCGGGGTATGCGGAGACTGGTTACCAGGTGGATGGTTACTGGGGGTCGTTACTGGGGATGGTTACGATTGGGTTACCAGGTTGATCGTTACTGGGCAGTAACCGGGGCTGGTTACAGGTTTGAAGACTATCGTTTGGCTTAGTCTCTCGTATATATTTACAGCAGCAAGGACAACCCACTACAGCCGGCACTCAGCTCCTGATTAGCCCACGTGGAAACCCACATTCTAGTCCATGACATAAGAGCAGGCCGAAGCAAACACAACCTGAATATGACATCCGTCACTCGTCAGTCATACATAACCGGACTAAGTGGACAATCGTTACCTAAGCAATGTCGTGCAGCTCCCCCACATGTGGCAGGGGCTGGACAGCTTAAATCAAGCCTATATAGTCAGCTATAGCCCCACGTGTCCATAGATGTACGACTGGCCGTCAAACCTGGTGACAGACAACTTGGCAGGTGGGTGGAACCTAGAGTCCAACCCACTGCAAAGGGATGCATCTCTTCAACATGATACAGATGCGACGGTTAAAAGAGCATTAGTTCTTCTTCATGTTGTTCAACATACTTGGTCTCCAGGACATGTATGTTTCATCCTTCCAGATCAGGCCCACATTGGAATGCTCATGCTCCTGTTTACCCTTGTACGACAGGTATGATGTCAGTAATATGTTTGAGTCCACCTTGTCAGTATCCCGGACATGCTGTCAACATTAGCTGTAGCACGATTATTCTCAGGGACCTAGTCATCCATCTCCCCACATGAGAAGCATGGATAGGGTGCAAGATAGCGCATGATATGCCAGTGCCTTGCTAGCACTACCATCAGGCCCTGACGCTTGGGGTGCGACAAGGCCCAGCACGGCCATGGCACAATGGACTGAGCCAACACCAATGCTTCACCCTCCACAGGTTCACTCTGTACAACTGGCATGTGCATCTTCTTATCAACTTGCTGCTGTTCATTACATGCAGAGAACCATGCATCCTTCACAATCACACGCTCTGCTCCATCAGGCCCCCTGTGCTTCAGCAACCGCTGCACTTTCCCAAACCACATCTTCATGGTCCCCGGGACCGTCATAGGAACCAGCTTCCGATTGATAGCCAAGCAATGCCAATGGACACGACTTGGAGCAAGTCAGCAGTTGCGGCAAAATCGAATCCAGCGATCCCTGCTTCAGTATAGAATGCTGTTAGCTCCACAAGTGAGATGACACTTATGTCACTTAGGTTATAGGCTCTCTTTGCCACCCTGCCTGCCTTGATTACAGGTGTGTTGCCGAAGAAGTCCTCTGGTGTCCAAAGCGATGCAGGAACATCTGTGTTGTCAGCCTCCTGGCCCTCATCATCAGATTCTGAGATGTTCACTTCGGTTTCGATCAGTCGTCATACACCAACAGTCACCGCTTGGTCCAGGGAGCAAAAGAACATTGCTGATTCCGTGTTGCGCCCAGTTTCCAAGACAACCCCATATTGATTCAGGGTTGAACATGGACAGAGCAAACAAAGGTCCTATAGGTCAGGGATGAACATAGCATCATCAAAAGCTCACATGGCATCATTACATTCAATCATGGATGCTTACTGGCTTCTTCAATGCTGTTAACTAGGTGAATCAAGTTGTGAAGCTTTATGTTGAGGTTAATTGCAGAAAGGTATGCTTCAACGCCACAAATTGCTGACACTACCCAGGTATGTAAGTCTGGCAACATACTCCTATGGACATGCCTGCTCGGTTCTTGTACACTTTTCTGTTATTACCGTTACCTAGGTATGAGGTGCAGCATACGTTTACAGTAGTTCTCCTTGTGTTATGTTGCAGATTACTTTGATAGGGTATTATTAAGTGTGGTTATGTGTAAGTAGCTTAGCTATCCAATTTGATATTACTTGAAAGCTCCAACCTCTTCACACTCAGTGGTCATGGTGCTCATGGATGATTTAGATTACTACATTCCTTCTCCATCTCCTGACAAAGTTTCAGAATTCATGACATACCTTCAAAGGAAGCGAATTCCCAGCCAGATTCAGGGCACTAACATCAACTATGCAAGTGGCTCGTTCAGGCTTCTAATGCATGAAGCAGGCAACTCTAAGCAACAAGTAACAGAACCCGGACAAGCTACTCTCCCTCTTGACAGCAGCTTGGGCGTTACAGTGGTGGCCCATGCCAATGGCATCAGTACTCAAGTCGCCTACAAACTAAGGAACTATTCACGGCAGAAGGATCTGAAGATGGATGCACTCATTGCGGAAATAGTGAAAACGTCTGACTACTATGGCACCAAGCACACACAAGAGGTGCTGATGACCATGCTCGGTATTCTTGTCCCCAAGGACCTCAACAAGCGCCGGAACAGGTAAGGAATAAGGGTATGCAGAACGGGGGGCAACAGGTGAAGTGTTCGATAAGGAAAGGTAACGGATACCCTGGGGGTTTCACACATGTACTCTACGACTAAGGGTTTCGGTAAGTATGCACTGGCTACCTTGTGATGCTCTGCAACTCTGTCATGATGTACTTTCAACACTTGCCCTTCATTCCGTTCTCCCTGACATGTCATGCAGTAACGCCTCATCTGGAAGTGAGCCTTCCACAACCAAGCAAGCACCTACGCACTTGTCCTCCACCCTACCATTGAAGTACCAAGTGGTCTTTAAGAAGGTTTTGGAGCCCGACGCCATCAAGATCAACAACTGGTACACGTGCGGATCAACAAGTGGTACACGTGCATACATAGATAGCTGTAGTAGACATGGCTACTTTTTGTGCAAGATCACATAATGCTGGCACATGTTCAGGTTCCTTATCATTGGGGTTAACTGGGACACCCTGTTGTCCACACTGGCGAAGAAGGACAAGGTTAAGGTCATGGTGAAGGAGACAACCGACATTGTTAACCTTAGGTACTTGGGGAAGCGGTGGATGGCAGCACTCTTTCGGTCACTGACTGGAGACAGCCTCTCGGAGGTTCAGCAGGCAGACAAGGCTACATTCGACACTGTCTATGACATCTTGAAGGCAAAGCTGCAGAATGCGATAGCAAACCACTAGTCAGGTAGAAAGGGTGATGTTTCTGAAACCAATCGGCATTCAAACAAAGTGTGTTATACCTCACACTCCCAAAGTGCTGACCTTTGTGTAACCCACATTTCGGATGCCGAAGCATGCAGAGAAGAAGAAGTCAGACTCCTTCAAGGCCATCGGACTGATGCCTGCAGACAAGGCTCAGCTTGAGATTGTGACAACCTAGGACACCATCAGTGTGACCTCCCTCTTCAAGAAGTGGGTGACTGACCATGTCGAGGTCAGCACTCAGCCAGCAGGTAATGCATACAAAGAAGGAAATGTAGGCATTTCCTCAACCTCAAGATGACCTCAACCTCACTTGCAAGCTCTGCCTCCCTGTTCTCTTTTGCAGGTCAGGAATGCAAGAAGAGCAATCTTACAGCTGCAATGGAGGTTGAGGTTGAGGAAATGCCTACATTTCCTTCTTTGCATGCATTACCTGCTGGCTGAGTGCTGACCTCGACATGGTCAGTCACCCACTTCTTGAAGAGGGAGGTCACACTGATGGTGTCCAAGGTTGTCACACTCTCAAGCTGAGCCTTGTCTGCAGGCCTTGAAGAAGTCTGACTTCTTCTTCTCTGCATGCATTGGCATCTGAAACGTGGGTTACTCAAACTAATGTAAAGGTCAGCACTTTGGGAGTGTGAGGTGTAACACACACTTTGTTCGAATGTCGAGAAACATCACCCTTTCTACCTGACTGGTGGTTTGCCATCACATTTTGCAGCTTTGTCTTCAAGGTGTCGTAGACAGTGTCGTATGTAGCCTTGTCTGCCTGCTGAACCTCCGAGAGGCTATCTCCAGTCAGTGACCGGAAGAGTGCTGTCATCCACCGCTTCCCCAAGTACCTAAGGTTAACAATGTCGGTTGTCTCCTTCACCGTGACCTTAACCTTGTCCTTCTTCACCAGTGCGGATGACAGGGTGTCCCAGTTAACCCCAATGATAAGGAACCTGAACATGTGCCGGCATTATGTGATGTTGCACAAAAAGTCCCCATGTCTACTACAGCTATCTATGTTGTACCTACCTGCACATGTATCACTTGTTGATCTTGATGGCATCGGGCTTCGAAACCTTCTTAAAGATCACCTGGTACTTCGATGGTAGGGTGGAGGACAAGTGCTTAAATGCTTGCTTGGTTGTGGAAGGCTCACTTCCAGATGAGGTGTTACTGCATGACATGTCAAGGAGAACGGAATGAAGGGCAAGTGTTGAAAGTACATCGTGACAGAGTTGCAGAGCATCATAAGATAGCCAGAGAGTACATGTGTGAAACCCCCAGGGTATCCGTTACCTTTCTTTAGAGAGTACATGTGTGAAACCCTAACTTTCTTTTAAAAAAAATGCTTGTTGAGGTCCTTGGGGACAAGAATACGAACGAATGTGCTTGACTCCATGGCATGGTGATTGGTGCCGTAGTAGTCGGACATTTTCACTATTTCCGCAATGAACAGGAATTGTAAGCGACTTGAGCACGGATGCCATTGGCCGGGCTGCTGTCAAGAGGGAGAGTAGCTTGTCCGGGTTCTGTTACTTGTTGCTTAGGGTTGCCTGCTTCACGCATTAGAAGCCTGGTAGAGCCACTTGCATAGTTGATGTTAGCGCCCTGAATCTGGCTGGGAATTCACTTCCTTTGAAGGTATGTCATGAATTCTGAAACTTTGTCAGGAGATGGAGAAGGAACGTAGCCTTCTAAATCATCCATGAGCACGGAGTGTGAAGAGGTCGGAGGTTTCATGTAATGATGCTGTTCACGGATGACCGGCCCTATTTGCCTTTTACTATGAGGAGGCGATTTCCAGTATGGTGTAGTATTTATATTTGGAAATCTGTTTGCATGTTTTTGAAGGGTTTATAATTCATTTCTTTTTATAATTCGCACGCAGTCCTGGGGGCCCTGACTCGAAGTGAGCCCCACCCTGGAGTTAGTTGGTACCGCTTTTATGTACCAAACAAATTGCTTCTCTAGTACTGTAATGTTTTATTTGTTATATTCATGCAAACTGAACTGAACTTGCAAGGCGCCACCGCAGTTGCCGGTGCCATGAAAGCGCAACCGTCCCGGGACACAGCCTCAGGCCCAGAAATGGACTTATAGGAATACAGAAAACCTAGCTGTAAACGGAAATAAACAAAGCCATGGAGTTTGTCCTGGACCCGAGCCATCTGCTTGCATCGCGAAAACCACGTGTCGCGCGACACAATGCCAGTAAAGTTTGCCATCGCCACAAAACAGCAAAGCAAAACACATGTTGGTAAAACAAACAACAACGGGGACAACGGCTCGCCGGTCAACACCCTCGCTCGAGGTTCAGTTTCTAAAAACACAAAGGGGCTAATGTCTCAACACAGCTACCAAACATACACACCGCTATATGACTACTCCACAATAACACAGTAGTCCTCCTCTTCTTCCAGCTTGGCGAGGTGGCGGAGAAGTACGTCTCCACTGGGTGCATGTCCGCGGCAGAAGCAGTTGTTTCGCCACGCTTCAATCCTTCCATTGCCTTCATCAGGGCAGTCCAAAAGTGGAACGACAGCGCCAGCAGGCATCAGCAGGACGATGTCAGTGGGACCATCAGCACCCTGAATCTCTTTGGAGATGCTGTGCTGTACAAATATCAACAGCAGATAGCAGCACCGGTGTGAGGGCCGGCTATGGTGGCAGCGATGGGGGCGGGAGCTACAACAGTTGCGGTGGCGGCCGTAGCAGCCTTGACTGCTGGGGTGGCAGCAGCAGGGCCGAGCGACACGGCATCAGCAGTGGCGGCGGCGGGGGGACTGAGAGCTACAGCAGGGGCGGTGGTGGCTACATTAGCCTCGGGTGCTGGAGCGGTGGTGGCGGGGCCGGGTAACACGGCAGCGGCGGCGGCGGTGGGGGGGGGGCGGAGTGCTATGCCAGCAGCAGCAGCGGCGGTGACGGCAGGGGTGACTGCAGCAGCCGGAGCGGGGGCGGCTGCACGGGTCGTGCAGCAGGGCTTTCGGCTCACGCTCACGACACCGTGCCTGGTGCAGCTGCTGAAATTGTACGGGGGCCGGATTGTACTCATGGATGTGATGTACGGCCTCACGAGCTACAACTACCCGGTCATTTCTTTGCTCGTGGTGGACCAGCACGACAATGGCATCCCCGTCGCGTTCGGGGTGATTTCAAGTGCAGAGGGTAAGGAAGATGTCCAGGACGTTGAGGACCTCGCGGGCCGGTCGCGGGCGGCAGGCGTGCACCCACTGGTGCCGCACTCAGCCGGCGGAGACACGCATCGGCGCGGGGGGGGCTGGCATGGCGGCAGTTCAACTGGAAGAAGAGGAGGACTACAGTGTTATTGTGGAGTAGTCATATAGCGGTGTGTATGTTTGGTAGCTATGTTGAGAAATTAGCCCATTTGTGTTTTTAGAAACTGAGCCGCGAGCGAGGGTGTTGACCGGCGAGCCGTTATCCCCGTTGTTGTTTGTTTTACCAACATGTGTTTTGCTTTGCTGTTTTGTGGCGATGGCAAACTTTACTGGCATTGCGTCGCGCGACGCGTGGTTTTCGCGATGCAAGCAGATGGCTCGGGTCCAGGACAAACTCCATGGCTTTGTTTATTTCCGTTTACAGCTAGGTTTTCTGTATTCCTATAAGTCTATTTCTGGGCCTGAGGCTGTGTCCCGGGACGGTTGCGCTTTCATGGCACCGGCAACTGCGGTGGCACCTTGCAAGTTCAGTTCAGTTTGCATGAATATAACAAATAAAACATTACAGTACTAGAGAAGCAATTTGTTTGAGGAAGTACATGAAAGCGGTACCAACTAACTCCAGGGTGGGGCTCACATCGAGTCAGGGCCCCCCGGGCGTCTTGCATTTCGGTTACAAGGCCGCGGAATGAGAATGCATTTTCTGCAATAGTTTGACATTCTGAAACCCGACGTCTAGCACAATTAGGTCGTCGGCCGGCCCTTTGGGCATATATAACACAGCAATTTGCTGACACTGCACAACATGGAAAAGCTAGAAATAATCACCTTGAAAACACAAGGGGTATGCTTATTTGATCAATACCTGATCACTGTTGCTGCGGCTTTCGGTGCGGCTTTCGACATCGGTTTTGGTCACGTCGCAGGGCCAAACGGCGCAAGTTTCAGCTTACGGGGGACAGCTTTTGACTTGGCGCAACGAGGAGAACCAGGTAAGGAAATCTTTAATCCTACCTGATTTATGAAAGAAAGCTGTTGCGCAAGTCGCGAACTGGCGCAACGCCTTCTTGGCCCGCGAACTGGTCCATTCGATTAACGGACGCCATCCCTTGGTCACCCGCAGGACTACCTTTTCCTCAGCAAAAACGCGGTCTTCGATGGACACAGGCCAATACGTGGCGGCGTGCCTATCTGCTACCCTGAGTTCACCAAGGTTGGGCCCGGATGGTTGACACCGGATGGTCGTGGATTTGTACGGAACAAGTTCTGGTTGGTCTGGGACAAGAGCGACACTTTCGCCACTCTGGTGAGCCCAGACAGATTTCACCTCGTTCCATCACCGCATTGCCGTTTCAAACCTATTGTTATCACAGCCATCACACATTTGAAGTTTTAAATGGAGCTGACACCAGTATTCCAACGCGAATCCATGTCCACGCGCTCGTTCTCTTCATGTTCGCCCCTGGAAAGGAAAGCTCAAAAGGGAGAAACCCCCCGCCGCAGACAGACAGACATACACCCGCGGCGTCCCCGGCCGCCTGCACAACTGCAACCGCAACTGCAACCGCGACTGCGTGTCCATGCATTTGTAGGAGTTGTCGCACGGGGATAGGATGAATAACGAGGGCTACCCGTTTTACTTTGAGATATTCAATCACATCGAGCTGCGTGATGACCACCTGGAGCAGCACCTTTCGGTCATCAACAAGGGTAAGGCTGCCGGAGGGCCGTACGTCCTCACCCTTGGGCGATGAAAGCTAGGCCGGGCCAGATCGTGTAGGAGTAACCGTTCCTGGGCCACTAATCCTAATCCCGAACTTGAACCCGGACGCTAGGGGCTCCGGCTCCGTTGTCCGACCGCAGCCCTTTCCCGGTATCCGGGAGGTCGCATGTTCGAGTCTTGTTAGGTACCGCTTTTTCTTCCCCCTGAATCTTCAGTCCTTATGCCCCTGCGGATTGGCCCGCGTGCGCACTCCTCAGGCTTGACATACAATCCGTTCACGGCCGCACTTCACACCTACTTCGCCGTCAGTGACATCAGCAACGTGAAGGTGGAGGGGCTGCAGGTGCGGCGCGGTAGAGGCATGGGGGGGAAGCCGTGGCGTTGTGGTGGTGTTGGTGGTGGCAGCAGTGTTGATGGTGCTGGTATGTGAAGATGCTGTAAGGTGTTCGACTGGTACAAGGCAGTCTGGAGATTAGGTTTGCGGGACAGTTCGACAGCTCGACTGCCACCTTGACGGCTTGACGGCTGTCAGAACAGGTCTGTCCAGCGTCGTGTTGAGATGTCCATGCCAGGCAGGCCAGAGAAATATGAAATTGAGGCTTGGCTAGGTTGTGGGCACAAATCCAGGAGCCCAAGGAGCCCAATGCAGGGAAGGAAGCCCCTTCCCCCCCTGTGGTGTGAATCGGCGGCTGCAAATATTTGCCGTTCCAGTTACTGAGCAGTCCTGCCAACCTGCCAGTCTGGCGGCGTGGCTATCCGTAGCAGCAGTTGTGCTAACAGTGCTGCTTAACAACCTGGTCTTTCCCCTCATATAAAGTGGTGGTGCCGCCGCCGCTGCCTTACCCCTGCCGTCCCGCACCTGCCCGTCCTTCCTTTTTGTTTCTCTCCCGACCCGTGCGCATCCTTCTGTCTCTCAACTCTGCCTCTCAACGAAGGGCCTGACTTACGAGGACAGCACTGATAGTCTGACCAAGAAGCGCGAGGAGGCGGCCGAGGTGGTGTTCCCGGGAGAGGTGGACCGCATCTACATCAAGACACCGGACGTGATGAAGGTGCGCTCCAGGTTGTGTAGGTGCGTGTGTATGTATGCGTGTCCTGTTGCTTCGGTTGCGACACACGGGATTGCGACTCCTGCACTCCGCATGAGTGTGTTTTTAAACCCGGTAATCCAGTACGCAATCCGTGCGCGCGAGGCCACCACACCACCACATCCTGGCGTGGGGGGGTAAATCTAGTGCCCCGTCGTCAACGCCGCAGACGCTACTGATCAGCAGCTGCGCACAGCTACCCCACCCCACCGCCTCCATTCGGATAGGGGAACCCGTGGAAAGAGCTGCAACGATGGGCGGAGGTGCAGCACCGTATCCATCACAAGCCCTTCCCTTCCCTCCATTCTCCGCTTCCCACTCTGACTTTTCTTCGACGTTTCAAATTTGATTACCATCAGATCCATGACTCCGGGGCTCCGGGTGGAGGTCGAACCTACGAGGTATGCAAACAGGGCTTCCCTGATGCCGTACTTTGGAACCCGGGTGCGAAGCGTGGGGCCTCCATCTCCGACCTGGGGGATCCCGAGTGGCGGCGCATGGTGTGCTTGGGGCCCGGCCATATGCATTGGGAAAAGAGGTTGGAACCTGGTGCCACCTGGACAGCGTCGCAGTGCATCCGCATACATCGCGGCGGACATCCTGGTGGCGGCCCCAGTCGGCGTCCTAGCCCCCGTCCTAGCCCCCGCCTTAGCCCCCGCCCTAGCCCGTTTTGAAGCAATTTCCGATGGCGACACATTGGGCTGTTGATCCAGTCGTGCAGCGTTTCCTGGATATCGTCAACTGCTTACGCAACAGAGAGATATGTGTCTGCCACAGGGCACCACTACCAGACCGCCGGGCATTGTCGCTTTTAGAACCCCCCGATTGAGTTTAGCTGCAGTTGTTTTGCAGATACGGTTTTGCGTTTTGGGTTCTTGAGAAGTACAGCTGTTTTTTCCGTACCTTCGTTTTGCTGGTCTTCAGCGCCATTTTTTTATGTGTTGCTGTTTTTGTTTTGTTGCTCTCGCTTGTTGGCAGCAGTGCCAGGCAAGGTTCTGTAGACGGCCACACACATGTTCATGAGTGTGTGTGCCAATTAAGTGCGCATGTAGTTCTTGGTGCGCTTTGACAGCTTATACTCGATAATATTGCGGCAGGTGTGTGGTGCGCTGCCAGGTTGCTGAACTAAACAGCTAAACTCCACGTGTTGGTGTATGTGGCGCCTTCCAAGGTCGACAGCTGCTAAGCTGCCTAACTTCCGTTTTGGATCGGGGAAGGAGCAAATTCGAGACCTGGAGGCCTTATGTAGCTGCGTGGGGCATCGTAGACGTTAGTCATAGTCAGCGTACATTATATGTTACAATGCCGTGTAATGAGGAGTAACAATGATTCGGTAACTGATGAGTTGCCTGGAAATAACCGGTTCCAGCTGCCCTAACTGCTCCCAAGAAGCGTAATGCCAGACATCGGCCAACGGGGTATTTCGGGAACGGGTCTATTTATGTCTTGCAGAACAATTTCTGTTACAAGGGCGCGGGACGAAAATGCTTTTTTTGCAATAGTTTGACATTCTGAAAATCTGAATCCCGACGTCTAGCAGTCTAGCCGTCGGGCGGCCCTTTGGGCCGCATAACACCTTTCGTATAAGGCAGATGGTCCTATTTCTGCAAGCCGGCCGGCTTCGGGAACTCTATTTCTGTTTTCGGGAGTTTCGGTAACCCCGGAACTCCCGAAGCGTTTGCCGATGCCTGGCGGCAACCTGCAGTGATGTTCCAGTGCTGGAATATGACTGACCCTCATAACTATCAGTGAATGGTGGCAGCAGGAACAGGACCCGAGGGCCCCTCCGCTCATTGTACCTCCTCCATAACATGTATCTCCCCCATTACAGTGCTCACCGTGCGCCACGGGAACAAACATATGCTTATGGTTAACTGGTTTCGTTGTGCATCCGACTATGATGAGCTACGTGGCGAACTGGAATCGCACAAACGTGCAGGTTTGTCAACCGTGACCCCGAGATGGCGTGTGAGCTTCATGCCGGGCGCAGCAGGAGACTCGAAAACTTGACATCAGTGCATGCGAGTCGACCGGGAACGATGGTCGACACGGAATCACGGATCGTCCGTGCACAGAGCTCCGAAACCACAGGTGTTGACGACCAAATCAAGACTGTTTCTCTATCTGTCTGGAATTTACAGTTGTGAAAGTCTTTTCTGGCAAGTTGCGCCCCGGCTTTCCTGGCTTTGCTGTCTAACGATGGCGTTTACATCGGGCCGGACCGTGCTTTTACCAAAAGAACGACTGTTTTATTGTCGGCATAGACAAATGTCATGTCTAGACAAGCTACGATACCCTCACACGGCTTACTCAGGAAAGTTGCGAGCCATTCGCGCCTACGACGAAGAGGCCCCGATGGTGACCGGAGACTGGAGAGAATTTCGTGCTAAGCTTATCATGCAGTCAGGTGAATATCAAGGCCCTCATCTTGCCTTAATTTGCCTTATGTTGCAGACTTGACCCTTTTCAGTTAATTACTTGGCGTCACACGCGACGCATGCACGCCAGGCATCTCTTAACTTCTTTTACCCTTGCTCCACTGCAAAGACGGAATCCCCTCAGGTGCGAGACGAAGTGAGGACAATCGGCGTCTCCTGGAAATACAAAACCCTTCTTTGGCAGCGGAGGGCCTCTGGGCCCATGCCACTTCCCGCCCCGAAACCGGTGGCCTCGTAATTGCCAGCCTCCAGGGTCCCACTATCCTTAACGATGATCGGCTCTGGCAGGTACGGCACGCCGTACAATCTGTGCACGTGGCGCTATCAGGGATATGCAGGAGGGGGCCCAGAGACCCGCACGGGTTTGTGTGGTCATTTGTGTGCCACGCTGAACCCCGGTGCGCACATCAACCGCCCGGCAGCTGCTCGTATGCCGTACAGGTGGTCGTCTTTCTTACTTCCCACGGCGCCGATGGGTCAGTGGGCCTTATCCTCAACCGCCCCACCGGCATGGTCCTGGGTCGCAAGCCGGGAGGTCTGCCCCTGGAGCTAGGGGTGAGTTTTATTTTATCGGTTTTCTAGGGGTTTCAGGGGTTTCTTCCCCTCCTCATCCGCCCTTAACCTCACCCTTTTGCACGCTTGATCTTATCCCTGCCGTACGCCGTACCTACGCATTTTCGACGTCGTGCACAACACTCCGTGTGCACCGCTCAGCACATCCAAATGAAAACCAACGCCTTTCAACGTGAAAACCAAACCTGCATCCACACACAAAAAACCCAAGACCGACACGATCGACACTACCATTGCCCCCGCTCTCCCCCCCTTAACAGGGCCCCGTTCCCGTACAACGCGTGTTCCAAGACAACCGAGTGTACTGCGGGGGATTCACCGCGCAACAGGTACACTGGGCAGGATGAGGGGCTGACGCCTTTTTTTGGGACCACAAGGAGAAGGGAACGGGGGATTTAAACGGGATGACGGCGTTCTAGGGGTTCTAGTGACCCCCGGGAGCTCCCCTCTCAGGAGTTCAAATTTAATGTAAATCCTGTTAATGTAACGGATTTGGTGAAGAATGGACGAAGTTTCGAAATTATTAGAAATATTAAAATTACCACCTTAAAAAATTCTTCTTCGTCGTCGTTACTTAAAACCTGCTCCCTGGGGCGATAGGTGTCCTCGAAAAAGATCTGTGATCCGGATCCAGATGAAAATGTGCCCTCCCTGGCATCGCGACCACTCGTATGCACATGCAGCTGGTAGCGGTGGGGTGAGAGGGATGGAGGAGGTTAGGGTTTATACTTGAAAGGGACATCCTGATTTTTGTCGTACCTTGCCGTACATTTACAGGTGATTCACATCATGCACGGGCATCGACTGAATCATTGCGTACAAGTGAGTGAGCTACGGAGGATGGGGGGATGTCGCCTGATCGGCGGTAGTGCTGCACCTGTGTAAGGGACCTGGTGCAGAGCGGGGCGGGGCGGGGCGGGGCGGGGGGCGGTTTTGAGGAGAAGGCTTAGGATGAGGAGGGGGTTAGGCAACGAAGGAAGGTACGGGGCCCCCCGGGGGAAGAGTGTGTTGAAGCTGTTAGGGCACTTTGCTAATCTTTGATGATGATGATGATGATGATGATGATGATGATGCTACGGCATCTGTCTGTGTTATTTCCAAAATCTCTGGGTCTACGCGTGTGGGCTCTGTATGTATGTATGTTGTTACAGGGTGGTATAGGTTCACCAGCGGCCCTCTTTCCCGAGGCATTTCCCTGCTCTCCCCTGCGAGAGGGGCACCCTAATCCATTCACCCCATCCGACTTCAGAATGTACTCTTTGAGTTCGGCAACTCACCACAAGCATCCAACCAAATCTAGCGGATCAACGGCGCCTCAAATTAGTTCCTGGTCAGCTCGCAAGTTGATAAAATCACGTCCAACACCGTCCACAAGAAGGGGGCCCACCGCCCAATTCAACACCCCTCACACACCGAGGGGTCGGCAGGCGGATTTGAACCCGGAACCTCCGGGAGCAGAAATCAGGCCTTAACTTCTGCCAGCCACCTGCCATGTATGTATGCGTCCGTTAGGTAGTCCCTGGCGTATACATGGCGGGCGAGGCGGCGGCTACCGCTGCCGTACAGGAGGGTCGTCTTCCCTCCACTGATTTCAAATTCTTCGCGGGAGCTCTGACCTGGGCGCCGGGGCAGCTCGAGGAAGAGGTGGCTAAAGGAGCCTGGTGAGCCTCGGTTTTAGTTCGGGTTTTAGTTTTTAGATGTCTTTCGCGAGGGAAGTCGGTTTTAGACGGGTTGTACTTGGTTTTAATTTTCGATTTCTTGGGGACGGATCTCCGAAAATTGGGGCGTGTATTGGCGGATTGGACTTTTGTTGCGTAAGAGGCCGCACGCACGAAGGCGGGTGGGGGGTTTGTGTCGGGGACATATGTACGGAGGAAGTTCGAAATTTGAACCCGCCGTACGGCACAGTGGGGTAAAGGTTGAACGTCGAAATGGGTTGGCTTCAACCCGCCTGCAATTACCCCCTGCGATCGGCCTGATCCCGCCTTCCAGGCCTGACGAAAGAAGACCACCATCCCTCTTTTGTTTGTTGTTGTCGTTAACACGGCCCATGATGGCTGTATGTATGTCTGTATATCTGTCACATGCGTATTGTACGTCTCATAATGTATGTATGTTTATATGTACACGTCCTTCACGCCCATAACTGATTGACAAGTTCATGCATATGAGTCTGTTTGTATGTGTGTGTGTTTTCGTGGTCAGGTACCCCGCCGCGTGTTCCCGTTCCCTGGTGCTGAAGCCTGCGCTACAGCTGCCAGTTCCTCTCTGGCGGGAGGTGCTACAGCTGATGGGGGGGCAGTACCTGGGGGTCGCGAGGGAGGGATACGAGGGGGACGAGTGAGGGTCGACATGGCAGGTTTTAGGAATATGAAAACCTTAAAACCCCTTCAACACCCCTTAAACTCCCTCGCGCCATGTGGCGTTGTGATGCGCATGGAGGGTTGGTAAGGTGGGTGCACCGCCATGAAGTGTGCGGGGCGAGGGGTTTGATCATTGCGTTTTTTTGTCAATTTGTATGTATGTGTGTACATGTAGTTACGTGTAAATATATGTTTGTCATGTATATGTACGACCTTCCTGTGTTTACGTCGGTTACGATAAACCGCCAAGAAGTACATGATCGCAGGAGGGGAAGTTTGCCGGTCGGCGTCCGTTTCCTCCTGGCGTTCGTGTGTCGGTATGTCTGTATGTAAGTATGTATGCATGACGTGTTTCGTTGCTCCCCAGAAAACCCCCCCCTTTACGGTGCGTCGTGCCCCATCGCGTCCTCGTGTGTTCCAGTCGTCAACTTTCTGCGCTCCCTCCTAAAATTGGGGTATTTGTATTTGGATGGATGGACTAATGGTGGGTCCAAGGGATGCAAATGAGAGGTGTGCTGTGTTTTGTTTGGACTGCTGTCAGGATCATTGCAGATTCAGATGTTTTTCCTTTGGGGTCGGATTGCGGTGCATTTGCATTGCAGTCCGTTGCATATAATAAACTGTGTGCTCGTCTGCATGTGCATGTGTGGTGTGAGTATGTATGTATGTGTGTGAGAGAGTGGGGTTGAGAGAGTGTAGTAGTAGCTGGTACACAGCACGGCACACATGAGGTCTACAAATACGCGCTCAGCGCTCTCCACCACTGGCAGCATCTCGAGAGGCCTTTTCAGCCACGGCCAGCTACTATATACATAGAGAGAGGGCATACAGACATACATACGCGTGTTGAAGGGGAAGTAGACCTGTGTAGACCTGTGTCCTGCATGACACGTACACGTGTCGTTGTCCGCGTGTGGATACATCATAATGGTATTATTTTGCTCATTCGAATATAAATACACCAAATTGCATCTATTCAAAAAGCAAAATGCAACCCTAGGTGTGCAGATTGAGAAATGTCGTACATTGACGGCTGGCCTCAGGTCTCCGGTAACCTCAGTAGTTAGTCTGGCGGTTATGGTGGTTGGTGGGGACGTCACGGCAGCTGGCAACGTATTGGAGGAGATAGGCTTAGGTGAGACGGTTGGAGCTTGGGGGGTGTTGGGAAACGGAAGTGAGGCCGATTGGAGGGGGAGGAGGAGTTCGAGAACAAATTTACGATGCCAGCAAACTAAGCCCTTGAGACAAGTAACGGTGAACTGGAGAAAATTTGATGCAGAACGAGTTTCACGATCTCGTTTTTAAAGGTTCATCGCCCTATTTTTTGCCTCTGAACTTGCCAGGGGCTGTTGAACGCCAATGACTTAAAAGTTCAAATCCGTCGCTAAAAAACATCCTATTGGGATCCTCCTGCTACAGCTAACCGGTCGGTTACCGGTTACCCTTTTATGCCATAAGGGGGTTTGCGGTATGCGTGCATGCTGCGGCGCTCTGTGCTTCTGCTCATGCTGCTTTGATTGCTGTGCGACCACGTGTGTGGCCGCGTGGTTTTCACGCCCTTTCCTTGGGCTTCTTTGGAATAGCTATTTATGGCTCAGCTCCGCCGCACTCCGCCACTCCAGCAGACCATCCATGCCTCCAACTGCTCCAACAGCATTTCCCTGCTTTTGCCTTCTGCTCCGTCTCATGCACATCTCTTACATGTCCTCCAGTTCTCCAGTTCCACTGGCCATGGGGAACTGGGGTCGCGCACTACCAGGGGGCTGTAGATACTCAGCCGTTCTTGTTGACATGGAGGCGGCGCGCCATGCACTGTCCATGGATTTGCATGGCGCCGTAGCAGCACCGTGTACACACCAAGACTCATACATCACTCCAACGCCGCCGGCCGCTGCAACTGGCCCTCGCAGCTATACATAATAATGAGAGCGTGTAGTCCAAACACGGCATTCTTCCTCCGCTGGCAGCCCAACGGCGTATAGCTTCCCCTTCGGTATGGTGCGGGGCGACTGGGGCCGTGCCATTTTCGGCTTCTAAAAAGCTGGCTACCCAGTCGGATCATAAATCGTGTCCTTTAGGAACACTATACATTATTATACCGGCGATACTAATGTAATCCCACTCAGGGACCTCCGTAATCATGCATTACCGTGTGCATGTGTGAAGCTCGTTCCTTGGTAGAGCAGGAAGCCGAAGCGGCGCGGAAGCGTACAGCTCAACAAGCCAATCAGTTAGCTGTGAGCGAAAAGTTATGAAGGATACGTCCGTCAAAGTCTGGAGGTTGATTGCCGAGCATTGAACCCCAGGCCAAGTTGCCTCCGATAGCAGAATGCGATTGTTACAGTGGACTCCGAACGGGTCGAGTGCAGGGCGGGTTCGCATCATGATTACGGAGCGACATGCAAGGTACACGTGCTTGGCGCTGAAACGTACGATAAGTTATACATTTCTCAGCCTCCGTAATAAATACAATTACAGCTTTGAACAAAAGGCGCTTTCCTACTTCACCCCTCTTCAGCATTTGTGCCGCATTCGCGCCGCACACTCATCCGACCGCTTCAAATTGCACGCTGTATAATTTGTGATTTTTGATCATTTGTGAAGCAAATCGGGTCTGTCGTCACGATACGATGTCCAAAACTTCTATCTAGTGCCCAATAACTACTTGGAAAGGTATGTAAAGACAGCGATATAATTATATTCTTGTTCACATGATATCCAGATAGTTCTAGAATGGGGTTTCTGGAAGGCTGTCGGGATAATCGGGAACCGTCTTGGTTTCGAGAAACTACCTCAACCTTCGTTCCAACCGATTTAAAAAGCCTGTGAGGCCAATTGTTAACCAAACCGATATCTTGATATGACATAACAAAGAGTCTTTAAAGCTTCCTTGCTTATATACCTACTTAAAAAGTAAAAGATAACGAAGCGTGATGGCTCTCTCCACGGTTGTCTTCGCTGATCCTTTCTTCTCGGAGATGGACCGCGCCATGAACCGCTTCATCAACAGCGCCCTTGGCAACCCAATGTCCAGCGCCACGGCCGGCGGCAGCTCGCGAGCCGGTGTCGCCCAGCCGACTCTTGCCATGGACATCATCGAGACGCCCACTGCCTACGAGCTGCACGCCGACACTCCCGGCATGACGCCCGAAGACGTCAAAGTGGAGCTACACGAGGGCGTGCTGACGGTGAGCGGCGAGCGGAAGATCTCCCACAGCTTGAAGGACGAGGGCGGCAAGGTGTGGCGCAGCGAGCGCAGCTCCTACAGCTTCAGCCGCGCCTTCACACTTCCGGAGAACGCCAACGCCGAGGACATCAGCGCCTCCATCAACAAGGGCGTGCTCAGGGTGACGGTGCCCAAGAAGGAGCCGCCGGCAAAGAAGGAGCCAAAGCGAATTGCGGTGAAGAGCGCACTGTGATGGGCATTGAAGGGTCGAGCGACGAACGATGACTGATCTATCTATCTATCTGTTAGTGGCAAAATGGCTTTGGGGATAAGTTATCAGGAACAACGATATGGGGCTTTGTGATCTTTGTATTGGCCCGGCGTCATCCAGGCCGTTGCTTTCTCGCCATCGTGCTGGGTGGTTAGCCGGTAGGTTGGTGGGAATGTTGGAGCTTGTGTCGGCGCACGTGTGCGTGCAGAAATGGACTACAGACATTATTGGCCGTAGCAGCAGCAGCAGCAGCAGCAGTAGCTGGTGCTTGAAAATGGATGCTGCATCTCAGGACGGGACAGGGAAGAGAGATGTTGCCGCACTGGTATCGGTATCGGTGTGGACGAGCACACTGAGTGCTACTGCTAGCTAGTGCAGGTGGTGCTGGTGGTGGTTGGTCACGTCGTGGGTTAGTCCTTTGCTTTGGTCCTTCGACACAGAGGAGGTGTGAAGTCCAAGCAAAGACTTTTCCTGTGATGTGTATGAAAGCCATCTACTGTTGCAGAGTCTTGTTAGTGATAGGACCTGCGTGCACCGGTTGCATGCTGACCATCATCATCATCATCATCATCATCATCATCATCATCATCATCATCGTTTGCAGGTAGTTAGGCTGGCTTATGTTGGTTCATATTGTAGTTTTGCGTCGGCAGGGTCGGCGCCGTCGTGACAAGTTGAAGGACAACGAACGGAACGGAAAGCGGAAACCTCATGAATGCCGTACATCATATTGCACAAACGAATGCTGCTGACTCTTTGAAATCTTTTGTAACGGGACGTTCGCACCGCCCAGTGCTCCCTGCATTTTATCCACTGTACGATTTGGATCTATCACGACGTTGACATCTGCCTGCCTGCCTGCCCAATAATTAGCCACCGGCAGCTTTTTGATAATGCAAGGCACTTTGCCACGCCTTATCGTAATTTGATTTATCTGGTATGTCATTCGTAAATATATCATTACTTAGATGTTGATTATTATAAAGGCCATGACACCGCGTTTTACTTCCATACAAAAGTATGTCTAAGTAATTCCTTCGGTGAATCGTTAGCGTGAATTATAGTAGCTTAAAAATGCAATTCTAAATTCAGGGTGGGAAGTAAGTTCATCACGCGACACGATGCTGACTGACTGACAACCTGACAGTAGTGAGGACCCAGGAAGCCTCGACCTCCTCACCCAAAAACGACTCATCACATGCCACAGAGCGCACAGAGCTACAACTCCATCGCCCTTGAACAGAGGGCCCCCCCCTGAACCAGACCAGAAAGAAGATCCATCACCGCAACCAGTGGATCCAGACCACATCGACATCGTGCCGACATCCAACCATCCAACAACAACCCCCAAACAATACTCACCCACACGATATCTACTGCAACCCATTGCACAAAAGGCGATAGACACCAACACTCGATACCGCTGTGTCGTACCCTCCTGCAGCTCCGCATACGACCACAGCCAACAGGCGGGTATAAATCCTCCTCCCCCGCCCCGCCATGCCAGTTGCTCCTCTTTTACCAGCCTACCAGCACGCGAGCTGGTGCAGGTCAGAGAGGGGCGTTGTAAGCCCATCATGTCACGTCATGTCACGTCCCGTCACGTCCCGTCGTGCCTCTTATTCGCCGCCGGGGTGAAATCACCACCTAAAATAAATCGCCGCACCTAGCTCCTAATGCACTCACGAAGCAATCAAGACATTTCCGAGCAGACAAAACACACACGCCACGGACTCATCACACAGCTTATCAGTCGGTCCGACAAGGTGCTGGCTGGACGTATCATCCGGCTGCTGGTGGGTGGATTTTAGCAGGGTCTCATCAGGATCAGGAGTGCCCGAATACCTTGGGTGACCCCCGCGTTTTCCCCGTAGGGATCACCGGAGCCAAGGCTTGTCGCTATATGAACTGGATGGGAACGGCCCCGCCTAGGGGTGCGCGTTTCAATTGGCTGGATCACACTAAAGTAGCCATGCCCCAGCGACTGCAAGTGCTCATGCGTTTCCGGTTAGGCTGTTGGGAGTTATAACCTGGTCACGTGCAATTTTGTTTTTAGGTGCATGGCCCCCATGCATTTGGCCTACATGCATCCAGTCAACCCCATGGGAGCCTAGGGTAATCAACTCCAAAACGAATGAGACAAGTTTCACGTGACCCGATTATAGGCCTAATGGGCGTGAGTGCACCGCGAGGACCTGCAGGCGTTGTGACTGTGGAGCGGTTGAAGATGAGTTGCATGTTTTCAAATGAATGCCCCCCTTACAAGAGCATACAGGCTAAGTATGATGGTGATCTAGTCTTTAAGGGGCGCAGCATGCGCACCATTATGACTGAGGCGCCACCCCTGGCATTGGCCAGGTACCTCGGAAATTTGGGAGGCCAGGCACGTTGTGCTGAGGCGCTTTGCCCTGAAGCAGACGAGGTGGATGATGATGACCTCCTGTGTACCTGCATCAATTTCAATACAACGTCCATGGCCCCCCCGGCTTTTATGGACACACCTGCACTTGTGTGCGGAACTTGAACTATAAATATCCATGTTTGTAGTCATGTTTAAGAAGGGTCCAGCTCCCTTGGCATCTCCCTGAGTACTCTTAGCCTGGTGTCACATTGGTGCGAATTCCTAGGAGGTGGGAATTCCCCGGATCGAATCCGGTTGCGAACATATCACACACCAGGCACGATGCAACATACTCTTACCCCAAAGGTGGATGCCCGGGTGGGGGTGGGTGAGAAGTCTGCCATCTGAGTCAAAATTAAAGCCCTCCATCTCGGATGGGGACGGATGATATGTCATAATAATATACCAACGCACATTATGGGATCTCAAACAACCTAAATCCTACGGGATATGCCCAGGGGCGCCCGAGGACGTTCGCTCGAGGGGGAGTGGGGATGTAAGAAGGATCAGCTCCCCTGGCATCTCCCAGTTGGGAGTACTCTTTGCCTGGTGTTACATCATGTATACATGCTGATATATGTCCATGCTGTGTCTGGCTGTGCAGAAAGTCATAGGGTCGTCCATGGACCAGAGAATATCGCTGTCTATGCAACAGTGGAGAAGGCATTGGACCAGCAGCTTGTCACAATTGAGCCCACTGCACCAGAAACCCCCATCTTCCCACTGTGTCTTTAACTTGGCTACAATAGTAGCAGAGCCATCACCAGTCATCACCATATCCACTCTGCTATGTTTTCATGATGCCCTCTGATGTCCAGGTGTGTATGCTCGACAGGTCGCTGCTACAGCCAGGCCAGTGGATAGTAAACACTGTCAATGTGTGCATGCAGTGGTCAGATCTAGATGGCAGGGTCGTCGATTTTGGGGGCATGGACTTCAGTGACAAATTTAAAGGCCCACCACTAACAGCATTTGTGTGTGCAATGCAATCCATATGTGTTCAGCATTGACAACTGCAGTGTAGATGTAGTAGCCGGTACACAGAACGGCACACATAACAACTACAAATACGTGCGAAGCGCGACCACAAGCATCTCGAGAGGCCTTTTCAGCAGCGGCCAGCTACTTCAGTAGAACATGTGGATTGAGGAGGTGGGTGAGACGGTAGACCACTTGAGATGCACTAGCAGTTGGTGTAACACCAGGCAAACACCTTCCTTGTAATCACGTAACCACTACAAGAAGGGCACCACGACAGGGAATCACCAAAAAACCAACCAATCTACACATCCAGGCCGTCCGTCAGTCTGTCCGTGTTTCGGGAAGTCCGTCTGTCCATCTGTCCGTCCATCAGTAAGGCAAATTGGTAGTGAATCTTCAGCATTTTCTGCAGGTGTTGCCAATGACGGGGGCATTACTTACTCGCTTGCTTGAGGGGGCCCCGCCTCAACTCGTCATGCACCCGTCAAGACATGTGTGTGGTGTTGAGAGTACCCTGACTGAATGTACCCTGACGGAATTGACACCGGTCCAGGGAGGTTAATCCTCCAGCAGCGGGCCCCGCAGAACTAAGACAGGTTCACCGACGAATGAGGAGGGGAGACACAACCTTCTCTCTCTCTCTCTCTCTCTGCCCAGTCGGCCCCTGGGCCCCCCAGCCTGTTGGAGTCCGCACCGTTCAGGATGCGAAACGGGGATGACTGTCACGTAGAGGGGAAAAAACATGCGTAATGAAGGGAACTGAAAACAAGCGCCTAGGAAGTCGTCGCCGTCGCTGCCGTTCCCGAATCCAAATCCATGGGCGTCACGACGGCGCCAGCAGCGGCGGCAGCAGCGGCGGCAGTAGCTTCTGCAGGAGGGTCCCCAACCGCTTCAGCTGCGACTGGCGAATTTCCCGCCAGCAAAGACGTTGCGGTGTCGGCGGGGACGTCCATCCTTTTTTGCGACTCCTCCCCTTCCGCCGGCCCCGCCAGCCCCACTTCCGAGTCCTGCCTGCCGCCCTGCTGCTGCTGCTGCTGGGGCTCCTCTCCAGAAGCCGCCGCCACCGCCGCCGCCGCTGTTGTTGTTGTTGCCCTTATCCCCTCCGCGTCCGCGGGCGGTGCTGGCTGCTGCTGCTCCTCACTCTCCCGATCCAGCGGCAGCGACTGCGTCCTTTGCTGCCGCCGCCGCTGCCGCTGCCACCGGCGACACGCCGCCGACGGACGCTCCGCGTCACTGTCATCCCCTCCTCCTCCTCCTCCACCTCCGCCATACTCTTCATCCTCAACGTCAGTCGCCTCCGGCCCCTCATCCAGGTCCGTGTCCACTTCCGCCTCCAACGACTGCATGAGCACCGTCAGCTCGGAACGCATCACCCACGGAGTGACGGGGGGCCGTCCCGCTGCTACAGCTGTGGCGGCGGCACCGGCGGTGGTGCTGCGGCCACCGCCGCCGCCACCACCACCGCCGGTCGGCGCTGCCACGGCGGAAGCGTAGTCGAAGAAAGGCGACGGCATGTGTTGTTGTTGTTGTTGTTGTTGTTGTTGGTAGTGGTGATGCTGATGTTGCGCGGTGGCAGCGGCCATGTAGTAGTCGTCCTCGCTCAGAGGCTACCGGTTGGGAATGGGTTTTTCAGGGTTTTTCAGGGTTTTTCAGGGTTTTAACAGTTTTAACAGGATTCTAATAGTTTTAGTTCTTAAGATGTCACATGATGTTTGTAGCTTTATTAAAAGGCAGTGCAAAGCAAAGGAGTACGAACACGCGAAAGCGGAAGTGGGAAGACGCGGTGCTGCATGGCGGGCTGTTTTGTCACGTACTGTGGGAATGGAGACATGGCTCTTGCCACATGCGAACAAGAGGATCAGGAAAGAGCGAATTAGGAGAGAGAGAGAGAGAAACGGAAAAGAGACCCCGACATAGCTCCCCAACCCACAGTGCGGTTATCCGCCGCCTCCTCTCGCCTCCTTACCTGGGCACCATAGCCGTCGCCGCCACGCTCCACGGCCATTCCACCGTCGTACGACCTAGTGTACGGCAGCGTGCCGGGCGCAGCGCCAGCGCCTCCTCCCCCGGGCGTGAGTGGCGGCACCCCCCCTCCTGCTGCCAGCCACACTTTTATTCCCTCCGCCATTTCCGACCAAAGTACTTGCAGACTGGCGTAGTTGTTGCCGCCTTTGCACGACACAAGGTGAAAGTGGTACGTCACGTACGGCAATTGAGAGGGATTGGCACCGTGCGGTGCTTTCCTGATCAAAAACATCTCACCATCCCGACAGGGATATTATCGCAATCGGCCCTATACCCCCTACCCCACCCATCCGAGGACACCCCAGCTCCGAAACCTACCATCTGCTAGTTCCCTTAGTCGGGTTTCCCACGCGCCCCGCCTGGCGAACAGCCCCTGGCTCTTCTCCGTCATGAGGGCATCGTGCAGCTCCAACATACTGGCGGCTGTAGCACCCACTAGCACCGCCACCGCTGCCGTCGCCGCCGCGTCAGCGGCGGCAGCCGCCGCCGCCGCCGCCGCCGCCGCCGCCGCTGTGGCCGAGGGCGTGGTGGGCATCGCCGTCACCGTCATCGTCGTCGTCGTCGCCGCCGCGGCTGCAGCAGCTACATCCACGTTTCTCTGCAAGCTACGCCGCCAGCCGGGCCTTGCATTCTTCCAGGAGGGGTTGACGCAGTTCCACGGTACGGCCTCCTCCAGTGCCAGCAGGTCGCGGCGGATGGCACGAACCAGCTCCTTCACCCGCGGGGTGCTGCCGCGACCCGGAGTGGAGGACACTGCAGCGACAGAGGGGGAGGGGAAAACGGGGGGGATACAAATCACGAGCGAGCAAAGGGGGAAAAAAGGGGAAAAGGCGAACCACGAACGAGTGAAGCTGCTGCCAGGGCCAGGGGAAAGGGGGAAGGGGGATGGGGACATGTCCGGGGAGATGTGGCAGGCAGCAGCTCGGGCATGTGGGAATAGGCTCATCAAGGGGGGAATGCTCCTTAGGGGAGGCAGAAAAGCTGCGAGTGAACATTTTCAACAATAAAATTACCATTTCTGGAATCCTTGGTAAAAATGTTTCTAGTAAAAGTAACACTATAATAATAGCTGGAATCCTTGGTAAAAATGTTTCTAGTAAAAGTAACACTATAATAATAGCTAAGTATTAACACACAAAAAATTACAGAATAATTCTCTACTTATTAGTATAATGTTATATTTTAGGTTTACAGAGCCACCAAGCACGTTCCTACCCCAACCCCCCTGGTGAAAAAAGCGAGAGGTCAAAGGTAGGCGTAATTACTTGCCAATACGTATATCAAGGTGTACGGAAAATAGGTGATACGGAAATTAATTACAAATGAGCTACCCCCCAAGGTAATTTAATAATAAATTAACATCGCAAAGTTCCTCCCACTAACCTCGTGCCGGGGGAAGCGCCTCCAACTGCAATGCCGGACGGATGGAAGGATCCAACTGCAACCGCTTGTACGGCCGGCCCTGTTCGTCCATGTACGGCATCCCAGGTGGCCCCATGCCACCCGTTTCGGATGTCCCGCGGCGGCCCCCAGGGGGCGGCAGGCCCAGCGGCGGCGGCGGCGGTGCCGCCGCCCCCGCTGCCTGAGCTGCTGACGGCGGCAGCGGTGGCGGCCCTGCCGCCGCTGCCGGCCCCGGACCCAGCGACGGTGACGGGTGTGGTGACGGATGTACGACGGGCGGTCCCAGCATCAGGGGGTGTTGGGGGGGAATGAGCTGCAAGTACCGCTGCTGCAGCTTCACGTTGCGACCTGCGGGGTGGGCCCAGAGAAAGAAAGCACCGCAGTTCAGCTCGCTCTATGTGTGTATGTGTATGTGTATGTGCGTTTGTGTGTATGTCTGTCTCTTACCCAGTTTCGGCACCTGCAGCTCAACCCAGCCGTTGTGTTCCACTCTCGCCACCCAGGCATCATGACCCAGGAGCTCCGG